TCATTTCAGTTCTCACCTTGTTTCCTTAGCAATGCATCTCATCTATCTTTGAGCTCTTGTTTCACAGGACTTCTATTCTTAAGCAATTCTATTGTGTGAAGCACTCATGGGGATTCTTTCTGTTTGTGGCTAATGTTTTCTTTCAGATTGAGTTCTTCAATCTCTTTCTCTTCTTTTTCCTGGGAGGTACTTTGATAGACATATGCTATTTCTTAGTATCTTCCTGTGAGATATCAAGAACACAGCAACTCTGCCATGATAATATAAGAAGTAATTTTCCTTGATATTCTTTCTACCTTAGTATAACTACTTTGTTTTTGAGGGCTATGTGTTGGGTTCTTGCCACTTCTTTCTAGCCTGAGGCATGAGGGTGGTGGAAGAATAGAGATAGATCTATTAGGGCTGAGATCCTTGCTTGGGAACTTGTATTCTGATCAGTCTCTATTGAGATCCTGTTATTGATTTTATATCTGGGCCTACTTAACCTAGCCAAGAGATGTATGCTACTAGTGTGGACTTTGGCTAGTACTGTGTTCTGTTAGATGGCAAACCCTGGTGATCCTCTCTACCTTCACTGATGGTCTTGTGAAGACTTTCTTTTAATGGTTTTGTTCCTCAGCTTTTCTCAGTTTTGCTTTTCACTCTTTATTCTTTCTCCAAATTATTAATTATTGGTGAAAATTTTCAGGATTTTGTTAGTTGACCATCTTTCTTCAATATTGCTTCTTGTCGGGTATGTAGAGACAAGGCTAGGGATGTAGGGACAAGGTTGGGAGAAAGACTCTTACTAGCATATATAGTGCCTTTGTGCAAATTAGAAAATACTGCCCTTTCAGGAGGGCCAGGCCTGATAACTTGGCAAATGGGACACATTTGACTTTTATCACCAATTCACCTCCTCAGCTAAGCACTCTTGAGCAGGGACAACCTATTCCATCACATTCAACATCCGTTTGAAGATGGTCTGCATTCCACCAGAATTTTTTGTTTCTTGCTTTGTCTATCATTTTTTAAAGTTAATGACATAATTTTATATCTTTTTTGTTATTAAGTTGTAAGCATAGATTTTTTGGCTATTTCAGTTCTTTTATTTATTTGTTTATTTATTTATTTTGAGACAGAGTCTTGCTCTGTTGCCCTGGCTAGAGTGCCATGGCGTCAGCCTAGCTCACAGCAACCTCAAACTCCTGGGCTCAAGCAACCCTTCTGCCTCAGCCTCCTGAGTAGCTGGGACTACAGGCATGTGCCACCATGCCCGGCTTATTTTTTCTATATATTTTTAGTTGTCCAGTTAATTTCTTTCTATTTTTAATAGAGATGAGGTCTCGCTCTTGCTCAGGCTGGTCTCGAACTCCTGAGCTCAAACGATCCACCTGCCTCGGCCTCCCAGAGTGCTAGGATTATAGGCGTGAGCCACCGTGCCCAGACCCATTTGTTAATTTTTCAGTCTTAGACTTCTCTATTGACTTCCTGGTATTGTAGATGAGGATTTAGCTTGTGTGCTATTTCCCCTCCATTCTCCTCTCCCCCAGTCTTCTGGTATAGTCACAATCCACTTTTTCGTTAAATCTTATTAGGTAATTTTGATCTTGTTTCACTTTGCCGTCTTTATTTAGAAATTCGTATACATGTGTTTTCAAATTGGACATTGTGAAGTATATTTTTAAAAACAATCTTTGGACCAAGCTCTATGGCTCACACCTTTAATCCCAGAACTTTGGGAGGCTGAGACAGGAATATTGCTTGAGGCCAACAGTTCAAGACCAGCCTGGGCAACATAGTGTGACCCCCATTTCTACAAAAAATAAAATAATATAAAATTAGCTGGATGTGGTAGTGTGCTCCTGTAGTCCTAGCTACTTGAGAGGCTGAGGCAGGAGGATCACTTGAGCCCAGGAGTTGGAGGTTGCAGCGATGATCTTACCACTGCACTCCAGACTGGGCCACAGAGTGAGAGCCTATCTTAAAAAAAGTAAATAAATCTTTGATAGATTTAAGGAAAGTATATTCTTTAGTAGCAATGAGAAAAATAATGTTTGGTGTTGTAGGAAATAAACACCATTGTTTGTTGATGAGTTTTTATTTCTTGATTGTTAAATGTGTCTTATCTTTATAGAAATGTTTTTTCAGTATTATTTAAAAGTTGTTTAAAACATTGTCTTTTTAAACATTGCTTTAGGAGTATCTGATTTTAATCTTCGTGTTGCATTGCAAACACTTTTGAAAGAGTACTGCGAAGTATGCAGATCTTCCAAAGAGAACAAGTTTTGTAGTTTCCTGCAGACATCTAAAGTTCGACCTCGGAAGAAAGCAAGAAAGTACCTATATGCAGTAGGTGAGAGCCTTTAAAAAAGTAATAGAAATTATCTTTATTTTCAGGACCAAAGCCTTTTAATATTTTGTTGTTATTACTATACATGTCAGAATATGCAGGTGTGTCAAAGAGGCATATTTAATTTTACATACAAGCTACAGATTTATAAATTGCATTTATATATTAACAGTGAACACATCTAAAAATAAATAGCCACTCATTTGACATGTGTTATGCTGTGATCTAAATCTTTGGGTTCTTTGATTATACAGTTATCATCAAATAACTGACTAAAGAAACACTGCTTTAAAAGTTAAAAATTTGAATTCTTTGAAAAATAAGGAAAATAAATCTCAAGTTTTTGAACTGTTCACAGTGTCTTAGATAGTCATTAGAGATGACAGGAACCATTGATCTCCAAAGTGTAGTTTTACAGGATGATCTATATGAATATAAGAGGAATATATTAAAACTTATTTTCATTTTTGTTTTAAAAAACATTAAACTTTATCAATATTTAAAATAGAATGAATTATTATCCAGATCCATATACATAATATAGTTTTATATAAGATATACTTTATAATTTACATGTAATTATATGTATAATATTTAAATATACAGCTTTTGGGTGCATGCTAACTTTTTTTTGCTAATTGGATATACAGTCAAAATAAGGATTTCCACACATTATTTTTAATTGAAAAAGATACTAATGGAAGTCATAATGAAACTTTCCTAACTAGACAGATAAGCAATGCCTAAATGTATATTTTATCTAATATTCTTTTTTATTATTATTTTCTTTTGAGACAGGGTCTTGCTCTGTCATCCAGGCTGGAGTGTAGTGGCATGATCATAGCTCATTGCAGCCTTGAACTCCTGGGCTCAAGTGATCCTCCTGCCTTAGCCTCCCTAGTAGGTGGGACTGCAGGTGCATGCCACCACACCCAGCTAAGTTTTCTTATTTTTTGTAGAGACAAGGTCTCACTATGTTGCCTAGGCTGGTCTTGAACTCCTGGCCTCAAGCAGTCCTCCTGCCTCGGCCTCCCAAAGTGCTGGGATTACAAGCATGAGCCACTGCGCCCAGCTCTTTATGTAACAGTCTATTATGACCAAGACCAGGTGGTAACACACCGAGGTTAACTTTCTCATTGCATTTAAGCCATAATCTTTCAGGAATTGGCACATTTAAGAATAATATATTCTTATATGATATATATATATATTGCAAGCTCTTGAGCATTTATTTCTTAGTATATAATAGTTATACTAAATGTTTAGATGTAGAGGGCTAGATTATTTTCGTTACTACCATTTGCAGATCTAGCAGTAAGGGATTTCCTTGTACTTCTTTCCCTTCTTTTGTTTAGGTGGATATACTCGGTTGCAGGGCGGTCGTTGGAGTGATAGCAGAGCCCTCAGCTGTGTAGAACGTTTTGACACCTTTAGCCAATACTGGACCACTGTGTCTTCACTTCATCAGGCTCGATGTGGGCTGGGAGTAGCAGTTCTGGGAGGGATGGTGTACGCTATTGGAGGTAATAATAAAAATGTCTTATTTTCCTTATTAGTCTAGTTGGCTATATTCTTAAATGCCTTATACATATTGCTATGTTGTATACATATATATAGTATGGTTCAAAAAATATTTATTCAATGAATAAATATTTATTGAATTATTCAATAATAAATATTTATTGAATAAATGAATGAGAGAAAGAAAAAGAAAACACAAGATGTTGAATATTACATAGTAAATGGATATCATGATTTATTTCAGCAAACAGAATATATACATATGTCACAAGACAGAATACTTCGGTATGGTTTTAATGAAAAGTTGTTTCTAAAATGTGGCACCAAAATTCTCAATATTGTATGATAAAAAATTTTTTAAATTCTAAAACTGCATTATGATTCATTTTTAATAAACCAAGTTGTCTGGACAGTGGGATATATAAAGACCAAGTCTACTAGATAGTGGGATATATTTCTTGATTGAAATCACTGTGTTTTCTGAAACTATTATTATGAATTGTAAAACGATAAATGAATAGAATTAAATAAGGGGATTCAAATGTTGGAGGGAAATAATTATCAGAGAGGCATATAAAAAGAAATAAATACTAATACTTTTAATATCAATAATTATTTCTGGATAATATGTCTTTATAGCAAGCGTAGGTAAATCATGTTTAAACCTTATAGCTAGTCATTTTGCTTTATTTCTATGGATCAGTCTAAAACACTAAGAGTTGTCATATATCAAAAATTTTATAATTATTTTCTGAGTATGGGGCTGTCAGTTTAAATTGTGAGAGATACAGAGACTATTTGATTTTGTTTTTCCTTTGGAGGGTACACAACCATCACTCAAACTATTTATTAACTCTGTAAATGCCATGGTACATCAGAAAATTCCAACAAAGAAATTAGAGCTTTAAGCAATAACTTTCTGTCAGTATAAAGACCATAATTCTATGTAATCTTTGACTAGAACTGTAATAATTTCTTTTATGTACATTTTGGCAATTATGTGTAATTTTTTTGCATGAACTCTCCTGTTCAACCTAGGGTCACAATGTCTTTGTGTGACACTGCGTATGTATATATTCCCTTTCCTGATACCACAGAAGTGCTTAAGGAGTCTCTTAAAAAATGGTGCGACTTTCCTAACTGTTATTAAGATTATACTGTCAACATTCCTATCTTATAATATTCCTTAATATATAATTTTTAAATTTTTTTTAATTAAAAAAAATTTTTTTAGATTCACGATCTCACCTTGTTGCCTAGGCTGGTCTTGAACTCCTGGCCACAAGTGATCCTCTCGCCTCAGCCTCCTAAAGCACTGGGATTATAGGCATGAGCTACTGTGCCTGGCCAAATTTTTAAATACTTTTTAAATTATAGAAGTAATTCAGACTTGTTGTAGAGAATTTTGCCAAAACAGAAGCATATGAAAAAGAAAATGAAAATCACTCGTACCACAATTGTACCATAGAGAGATAAGCACAGTTAATATTTAGGTATACTTTCTTCAGGATATATACATAGCTGGGTTCATATTCTAAATATTGGGTTTTTAAAATTAAGATATAATTCAAATACCAAAATTTACCATTTAAATAGTTCAGTGGTTTTTAGTATATTCACTAAGTTGTGCAAAACCATTACCACTATCTCATTCCAGAACATTTCATCGCCTCAAAAAGAAACACTATACCCATTAGCAGTCAATCCCCATCTCCCTCCCAGTCCCTAGTAGCCACTAATCTACTTTATGTCTCTATATATTTGCCTATTCTGGACATTTCATATAAACAGAATAACATAATATGTGGCCTTTTGAGTCTGACCTCTTTCACTTAGCATATCATAGCATATACTGGCACTTCATTTCTTTTTATTGCTGAATAATATTCAATTGGGTGGAAATAACGCATTTCGTTTATCCATTCTGTAGTTGATGGACATTTTGGTTATTTCAACTTTGTGGCTATTGTGAATAAAGCTCATGCGAACATTCATACACAAGTCTTTGTATAGAAATATATTTTATTTCTCATGGGTATATACCTAAGAGTGGGATTGTTAAGTTATATGGTAACTCTATGTTTAACTTTCTGAGATATGTATTGTTTTTAACATTTTTTTTGCTTTTTACTTATTATACTTAAAATATTTATTTTTAATTATTTAAGTAATAAGTAGCTACATTGTCATTGTTTAAAAATCCATTGCAATAATAGTTGAAGTCTATCTTGTCTACAAACTCCCTCCCCAATACTCACCCATAGAATCTCCAGGGAAAAATCATTATTAACAATTTAGTATGTATCCTTCTAGATCTTTTTCTATTCTTGCATTTGTGTTATATGCTTATTTTATATGGGTTTAAAAATATATACTTGGTATCTTATGATAGGTTTCCAAAATACACCTTTTTTACTTTATATTATATATGCGTAGGAGTAGATCTTAATGAATCAATATATAGAGGTAGACCTCATTTTTTAAAAATTTCCTTATAGCGTTTCATACTTTGGGTGTGGTGTAATATACTTAGCTTTTCTTTTACTGATGGACATTTATTCTGTTTCCAAATTCTTGCTACTACAAGCAGTGTTCCTGTGAACGTACTTATATATGTCTCCTTGTGCATGTATGTGAATATTTCAGTAGGACATATGTTGAGAAGGGAAATTGCTGGGTTAGTTATTAAGCACAATTTTAGTTTTAATAGATAGTAATGAGTTACCTCCACCAACAATAGATGAGAGTACCTGTTTCTTTACTCTCTTGCCAATACTATATATTATCAAACTTTTTTTTTCCAAGACAGTCTCGCTCTGTCGCCGTGGCTAGAGTACATTAGTGTCATCATAGCTCACTGCAGCCTCAAACTCCTAGGCTCCAGGAGATCCTCCTGCTTCAGACTCCTGAGTAGCTGGGACTACAGATGCACACCATGACACCTGGCTAATTTTTATATTTTTTAGTAGAGACAGGGTCTCATTCTTGCTCAAACTCCTAGGCTCAAGCAATCCTCCTGCCTCGGCCTCCCAGAGTGCTAGGATTACAGGCGTGAGCCACCACGCCTGGCCTATTATCAGACTTTTGAACTTTTGCCAGTCTGATAGGTAAACAACTAATATCTCATTTTTGTTTACATATTCTATATTATAACTGAAGTTGAACATCTTCTCACGTGTTTCATTGGCCAGTTGTATTTTCTCTTCTGTGAACCAGTTCATATCTTTTGTCTGTTTTTCTGTTTGGTTCTCATATCTACTGGTCTACTTGTATCTCTGCTCATGTACTCTCTTTTTTGTCCTATCGCTATAGATGAACTGTTGCTACCCCTATTGTCTCTACCTGTGTACCAGGTCCTAACCCTTTACATTAATTCACGGATCTTTTTCTTGCGATTATCAACTCTTTATGGCATTATTAGGTTTCGTCTCTCGACTGATTAGCAAAGAAGTTGGTATAATATCTCCCATCTTAAAAAATAAACCCTCTTTTGATCTCATGACCTCCTGTAGCCACTGTTGTATTTCTTTGCTTGTCTCTAGAAAAGTGGAGTGGTCTTTATTTACCAACAACTCTATTAAACCCACTCCAGTCAGACTGTCTGCTTTTCATCCTCCTCAATCCACAGAGACTGTTCTTGTAAAGGTCACCAAAGTTACCATCATTGTCAATACCAGGGGTCAATTCTCAGTTCTCATCTTACTCAACCTCTCAGAATAATTTAACACATTGCTTCCTACCTCTTAAAGCCCTCCCCTGTTTTAAAATGTAGATTTTATTATTACTCAGGTATGGCGATGCCAACAGATCCGTAGACAACTGTCATTGAAAAGATAGTTTGTTACAGTTCCCAAAAAGAGGGTGCACACCTTGCCACAGATCAACCAGCAAACACTATTCAGCTAATAGTGAAGTACTAAGTTATACTGTCAGCTGCATTGGGAGTCTGTCTGGAGGCAAAGGGAAAGGGGGGGAAATGTTGGCAAGAGCCTTCATTGTGGTTTCTACAGGAAAAAACAGGAAAAGGCATAGTAAACAGGATTAGCTAGTTTAAATGATTGGCTAGTTTAAATGATTTCAGCTGACTCTGGGACATAGGGATGGTCCCTAATTGTCTGGTACCTGGCCTGGGGGTGTTTAAGACAGGAGAATAGTGCTAGATAAAGGAGGTCGTGGAGTTGTGGGTTCTGGATTGGTTAATTTGCGTTTAAAAAGCCCTCATGAAGGCAAGTTTACTATTTGTAGAAATCAGCTAGCCCTGGAAGGGGCAGTTGCTTCAGGATCAGCAAGGCCCCAGATGTCAAGCATCAGCAATATGGAAAAGTTAAAAATCATAATTAATACACCTCCTTTTTTAGGGGGAGGTGCTTTGGCATTAATGAACTCCTTGGTTTCCTCCTACTTTACTGACAGTTGCTTCTTGGGTTTTTTTTTTATGGGATCCTCTTTCTCTTTCAAACCTCTAAATATTAGGATGAAACTCGGCACAGTGGCTGGCACCTATAATCCCAGCTGCTTGGGAGGCGAAGGTGGGAGGATCACTTGAGCCCAGGGAGTTATCAGCCTGAGTGATATAGTGAGACCCCCATCTCAAAAAATGAATGAATAAATAAACTATTATACCAGGGCCAGCTACGCAGACTAATACATGAAAAAATATAGAAGTATTAAAATGCAAATTGTATGGGGTTGGGTGTGGTGGCTCATGCCTGTAATCCTAGCACTCTGGGAGGCTGAGGCAGGAGGATCAGTTGAGCTCAGGATTTCGAGGCCAACCTGAGCAAGAGCAAGACCCTGTCTCTACTAAAAATAGTAAAAAGAAAAGAAAATTACATAGATTGTTTGGGTGGTAGAATTACAAATAGATGATAGAAAATTGTGCCTTTGTTTCAAAAGTGGGCTTTAATAAATGACAGTGCTACAGATTCAAAATAATGCTTGCCAGGCAAATGAATTTTAATGATTATAAAATCAGACATAATTGAATTTCTAACAATAGAGAATGCTATTGACTATGGTATTAATGTATTATGGTGCTAGACTGTTAGCATTTTTTACCAAACCTTCTGATGTGTCTCTTTTATTTAACTCAGGTGAAAAGGATTCGATGATTTTTGACTGTACTGAATGCTACGATCCAGTTACTAAGCAGTGGACAACTGTAGCTTCAATGAATCATCCCCGCTGTGGTTTAGGAGTGTGTGTGTGTTATGGAGCTATCTATGCTTTGGGTAATTATGCTGTTCAATTTAACCATAGCTAATATTATTTAAATCCTTATGTTCTGATTATTTTAGAGATGTTCCTTCCATCTTTTTAGCTCTTTAAATTCTTTTTGTTTTTAACCTACCTGCTTTAATCTGCATACTCTGGGTGCTGGCAGGGAGAGGGAGCTGGGCAGGATCTTGGGGGAGAGAATGGGCAGGGGCATGTGGATAGAGTGATTGCCCCTAGGCTGTGCATCGTGAGGACACACTCAGGTAAGAGATGGCACAGGAAGAACTGAGCACCTATGGGGTGGGGCCTGGTGGAGCAGGCACATCTCTGCAGTTCCTCGGCAGGCAGAAGACTCCTGACCAGCCAAGCTGCTGGTTGCTCATATTTTCCTGCAGGTCATTCTCAGCCAGTGCAAGGCCTGTCATCACGAAATTGTGGAGTGTGCTGGAGATGCGCTCGTCAGCTCTTTTAATTCTTATTCTCGGCCGGGCGCAGTGGCTCATGCCTGTAATCCTAGCTCTCTGGGAGGCCGAGGCGGGCCGATTGTTTGAGCTCAGGAGTTCGAAACCAGCCTGAGCAAGAGTGAGACCCTATCTCTACTAAAAATAGAAAGAAATTAATTGGACAACTAAAAATATATAGAAAAAAATTAGCTGGGCATGGTGGCGCATGCCTGTAGTCCCAGCTACTTGGGAGGCTGAGGCAGGAGGATCACTTGAGCCCAGGAGTTTGAGATTGCTGTGAGCTAGGATGACACCACGGCACTCTAGCCGGGGCAACACAGTGAGACTCTGTCTCAAAAAAAAAAAAAAAAAAAAAAAAAAGAAAAAGAAATTCTTATTCTCAAAATTGTATTACTGGAAATAAAATATAGATGAGATGTCCAGTGAAACACTTTAGCTGACTAGTTAAATCTCATGATTTTAATGAAATATGTAACATTTCTTCCATTCTGTATAGTGGCCTAATTATGTCTAATATAAGAAAGCACGTATCAAAACATTACAGATAGCAAAAGGAAGTTCTGCACTAGATTGTTGTCATTATTGCAGAGCAGTAAATAATTTTGAGTAAGTTATTCTACTTCTTTGATTATCTGTGTAACAAATGTTACAAACAAGGTTGTTCTAGGGAAAATTGTAACTTGACATAGCCCTCAGCCTCTCCAGCATCCGCTATTTTCTCTTTATCACTCTTTCTTTAATTCACTGTATGGGACTCAGTGTCCTCCCCCACTCAAAGCCTATTATGGAAAAAATCTCGGTTAGCCCAGTGTGAATTTAATCCATTATATTTTATTACTGCCATAAATATTTTCATTTTGCAGTTATACCTCAAATTATGGGAAAAACCATTTTTAATTTCAAGAATTGGAGAGTGTTAAAGAAATGCTATTGTGGGGATGAAGGACCTTTTTGAAGTTCCTGAAATGACACTAAATACACAGTATACTCTGATTCGGCTTAGAGCTGGCCTTGATTAGGATAACCATTCTGAATATGTAGAAGTCATTTCAAAAGGTAGTTTTGCAAAATATCCTATATCCCATGCAGTATGTTGATTTTTTAATTTTTGTTTTGTTTTATTTTAGTCTCTAGTTAAAACTAGGCAGGGACTTAAAAGACCTGAGTTCTACTCACAGTCGAATTCTAACTTTTTATGTGATTTTGGAACAAATAACCTCTCTGGTCCATGTGATACTGATCCATAATATGAAGTATTTGGATTAGATGTTTTCTAAGTTCTTTGTCATAAATAAGATTCCTTTATCCCAGAAATAAACATTTTTCTATTTGGTTACAGGTGGATGGGTTGGAGCTGAGATAGGGAACACCATTGAACGATTCGATCCTGATGAAAATAAATGGGAAGTAGTTGGCAACATGGCTGTGTCACGCTACTACTTTGGGTGCTGTGAAATGCAAGGTATTTACTTTAGAAATATTTTCCCTCAAAATATAGTTTCTGAAAAAACAGTTCAGGTTTGAGGCTTTATTTTCACAAAAGTATATTTTAGGTCTGTTAATACTGAATGACTGATACTAGCAGTATAGAAATTATGCTTTTTACCTCTTATCATTGACCTCTATTTCTGTATTGCCAAAATAATTGATTTTTTCCAAAATAAACAAAGCTAGAACTAAAAATTCCAGATAAGTACAAATACCTGGCTAGCAAAATAAGCTTTTGAAATGTCATCTGCTATTGTCATTTTCTCTCCCGTGAACATCTGAGTAAATATTTCTTTTTTTCTTTTTTTTTTTTTGGGCGGGGACAGGGTCTCACTCTGTTGCCCAGGCTAGAGCGCAGTGGCATCATCATAGCTCACTGCAACTTCAAA